GTTGCCGGACACGGAAAAAAAAAAAAAAAAAAAAAAAAAAAAAGAGTTTCACTATCTAACACAATGTTGATCACCTACTTTCCCTCTTTTCCATATATATTTGACCATAGGAATGTTTCTCAAACCACCCGTTGCATTGCATCAACCACTACGTGTGCCTTAGTACAGACTATTATTTCTCCTTTGGGCTACTGCAGTAATTTTCTACTGGATTTCCATACCACCAGCCTGACTTCAGTTAAATCCATCCACAAGCTGCCAAAGTAAGGGTCCTCAAAAACAGAGAATAGAAGAAGCTAAACTTTTTAATTCAGCTTCCAAAATCCATCCTAATGTGGCTACAACATCCTACTCTTCCACCCTCAGCTTCATGTATCTCCCTTGAATTCCAACTAACACCTCTGCCTTCCAATCCTATATCCTAGTCACACTGAATTTCTCAGTGTTCCCTGAAGACACCAAGATTTTTCAAAACCATGTGCCTACATAGATAGAGTATTTTCTGTCTAGAAGATGTAAACAATTAAATTTCTCATATCTTTCAAAAAATCTACTTAAAATTCACCTCTTTCAATGAAGCCCTCCCAGCAACTCTAAGATTTCTATATTTATTTACATATCTATATCCTCCACCAAATTCATATTCTTGAGGCAGGGATATTAATTTATTCATTTTGAACCCCCAGTACTTACCTCATTACCTAAGATATAGCAAATTTTCAGTAAATTCTAGGTGAATAAGCCAATGTAAACGCCAGACTTCTAAGTGATTATTCTAATTTTTAGTATTTAATTGTGCTATAATAGAATATAAAATTATCTTACATACTCTGGGGTTTTAATTTCTATATATTTTATTTATTTTTATGAATGTTCTCATAAAATCTAGTTGGGAAGCCTGAAAAGAAAATAAAAATGTACTCTGAATTTCTCTTTTTGTAATGGCACAAAAGGAGTACAAAGGCCATAATGTCTAAACGTTCTTACTGTAATCTCTAGTATTCTTACTGGAATCCCTAGGAAGTTTACTGGATTTTAAGCAGAATAGGCAAATTTAAGATGAAAAAACCTCTCTATTCATGTTATGAATGTTGATGAAATTAATGCAAAGTAGGGGTCAGCAGAAGGACAAGGTATCATGAAGTCTTCTCCCCCACCCCATTTTTTAGGTTATAAACCAAAGATATTCAAAAGACCTACTTTCTGGAGCTGGTTTCTTATTTTTATTTAATCCCTTTAAATCTACAGGAATACATATTGTAGAAACTCTATTCAATCAGAACGCATTCATTTTTTAAGACATTTTATTACTAAAGCACTATATAAAAATTTTATTTCTCAATTATTAAATCTTAACAATATAATGCACAGACAACAATTTCTTAGTACTCTCAGCCATAAGATTGTTCTTGTAATCACTATACTGCACATTTATGATAAAGATGATGATACCGTCATTATGTTATGAAGTTTTCCTTCTTCTCTAATGATAACTGGCTAAGGTAAAGACTTAATTTTCTCTTTATTTCCTGGACTGAAAGATATGGTGGATGGTGATAATGTAGTTTCATCAAAGCAATCCCATAAACTTCTTGAAAAAGATGTTTTCTGAATAATTTCAGAAGCTTACTTAAAATTGTTGAACTCACTTATTTTAAAAATATTTTTTACATTTTCTTTGTTTCACAGAATCACTTGAGAAATATTTGTCTTGTTAAACAATGGATCTAGAAACACGTTGATGGAGCAATGTAATTCATTTCTGAATTTTATCTGTATTTCAGCTTTTATTGCATGCATAAAAGATAGTGTCATTAAGAATAACTTGTCTACTCAAGACATACCAATTTGTTTACTAGTTCTGAAGTTTCAAGCAACAACCCACTCTACAAAAACCACTGAGTGTTTGAAAAAACATTCGTTCTTTTTAAACAAGTAGCTAAGGAGATCTAATGTGTGCCAAGTATGGTACTAGGTACTGGTGAGGCTGATGCTAATCCATATACTGCTTATGGGTAAATTAGAAAAAGACATTCTTTCCTTAAGATACTTTAACTTCTGGCTTTTAGAAAATTGTCACAATATACTTTGTTAGAAAAAGAAATTTTGCCAACAGTTGTCAGAAAATTGTTGTAGTAAATATACTACTCTATGATTAAAAGGTGCTCCTCAAATGCAGCCCTCTTGTGCAGTGCACCCTGCACACCCTTTTGTTGTCATGTTATCCTGGTACTGGGAACACAGGTGACTAGGAACAGCCACAGCATCTGCCCTTATGGAATTTGCAGTCTAAGAAAGACACAGAGCATATAACTAAGATAACTGACCCATGCTTAGAGGTAAGAGAAGGGTTTAATGTTTAAATATAAAACTAAAAGATGTGTAAGAGTTAACTAGGAGAATGGGGTCAGGGGAGATCATTATACAAAGAAGGACTAGCAATTGCAGAGGCTCTGTGTTAGCTGCAAATGTGGTGCATTTAAGAAATAGAAAAGAGGCTGAGCACAGACAGCTATAGGGAGAGTAATGTGAAAAGAGTCTGGGAAGGTAGGCCAGGGGCTAGGCCATGGAAAACCTTAAAGACAATATTAAGAACTTTGGTTTTATTTTTAAAGCAATGGAAAATCATTTGAGGATTTTAAGTAGAAGTGGTGAGGAGTGACTGAGGTGACATGATCAGATTTGCATTTTAAAAAGATTATTCTAGCTTCAGCATGGAGAATGAATTGGGGGCTCAAAGTGGAAACAGGGCAAGGCTCTGCTGTATAGCTCTAGGAGGGACCCTACCCCCACCTTGTATTGAGTTCTATTCAGTTCTATAGTGAATGGCATCCAAAGTGCACATAACAGAATATAATATGAATGGTGTTTCCTGGAGTTGTGCAATATTGCCACGGTAGAGTTAGGGAGCCTGGTTAGAAGGCTATGGAAGCAGTTTAGGTGAGAGATGATGGTAGTTTGAATAGACTAGTAACAGCAGATCTGAAACAGATCTGAAAGTCAGATATGGAGGTAGGCTTAACATCTAGTAGAATCACCTCAGCATAAAGTAAGTCACCTTAATAAGTAACTCAAATTCTGTTGATTAATTTTGTAAAGATAAAGCTCCCATTTTCTATGTTGATTAATCCTAGAAACTGATTTGAAAGCTATCTGCCTTCATTTTAATCATTTAAAGAGAGCTTACTGATTATTCAGGAATAAAATACCAAGTTAATTGGAAGGCTATCTCAAGTGGCTATTGAGCAGTTGAAATGTGGCTAGTCTGAATTTAGATGTGCTATGAATGTAAAATATACTCCAGAATTCAAAGACTTAATATAACATTATCTCATTAATGAATCTTCATACTGATTGCATGTTGTAATGATAATATTTTAGATATATTGGGCTAAGTAAAATTTGTTATTACAATAATAAATAATTTAAATAATATTAAAATAATTTTATTCACTTTTTTTTAACATAGCCACTGGAAAATTTAAAATTACACATATGGTTCACATTATATTATTACTGGAGAGCACTGATCTAGTCCATGTAGAAGGAGAGGATTGGGCATTTTAAATTAGGTAGCATGATACCCGGCATCATCAGATATGTGGTTTAATATCCTTAGACTTCACATGCTAGATTCTGCTTTTAAATTCAAGGTTCCTATCCCCAAATTTTCTTTCTCATAATACTTACCACAATATGACTATAAATGCTAGTCTTGGCAATGGAAAGTATTGTTTTATCATCCAAACTAATAAGTTTTGGTCGGGGCTTAATCCTGGGCTCCATTTTCATAACTTCATCATCAAATTTCAAATCTTGGGACAATAATGATCCTTCTGAAATTTTTTTGCTTTCTTCTACAATAATGTTGTTGAATGAAGAAAATAAAGACTGAGGCTTGACCTAAAATAATTATTTAAAATATTGAAAATTTAGTTGCTGTATTTATCATTTTGAAAAACAAACAGGCTGTGTAGAAAAGATAAATTTACTTTTTTCAGTTATACAGTAATATCTGTGATGATCGGATTTTGTCCGGAGCCATAGAGCCCGGCTGTTGCCTAAGAGCCTGCCTGCCTGTCCGGAGCCAAAGAGCCCGCCCAGCTATTGCCTCGAGGCCTCAGAGCCTTGTTTGCTGTTATCTTCCGTCCCTCCCTATCCTGTGCACTATGGGTGTAGGTAACTTTACAACTTGCCATAGATAATGAGAATTTTCCATTTACTGGAACAACCCACCCTGTGGTTTTCTCAGTAAACCATCTGCATAATTAATTATCTGCTGATTCCCTCCTGCTGTCTATATAAACTGTGACCTTCTGGCTAATAAACGAGACTTGATCAGAATACTGTCTTGTCTTCATTTCTCGTGTCTCTTGTCCCATCCAATTCCCACTCCCCCCTCCAGGGTCCTCGTTGAATATCCTGCGGGTCGGGACAGGATTTCATGATTAGGAAATCTATGAGGGTGGGTTAAGATTGTGGGCTAAGCAAGGCTGTCTACATTCCCACCCACTGGAAATTTCTTAAAACTGGCAAAAGTCAATTTTAAATATTTTATAACATGGAAAGGGCACCAACAAAGGACAAGTAATTGTGATACATAAATCAAGAGAGGCTGAACTGACAGACAAATAAGAGCAAAAATGTAACCTCTAGCCAAAGAATATGTGGGAGATAACAACTTTGAGGATCAGATCCAGAGAATCGTGATGTTCACAGTGAATAAATAAAAGAGCAGGCAGATGCTCTAGGTAATTATCAAGTAATTAAGTAATTATGGTAGGAACTGTGAGTGAACAAGAGATACATGAACAAACAGAACTTGTTCAGGAAGAAACCAAAATGGCTCATCAGAGAATTCTTAGAAATCTAGGAGACTAATGCATTTATAGTAAAAGATTAGGCTTCTATAGAAAAGAATAGGGTAAACACTTCAAAGCTAAAATAAAAACAATTTGTGATCACAAGGAAATGATAAATTTTTGCAATGATGAATGTTAATTACCCTGATTTGATCATCACACATTGTATACATGTATTGAAATATAACTCTGTAGCCATAAATATGTACAATCAATACATGTCAATTAAAGAATAAATATATTTTTAAAATATTTAATAAATGCTCTGAGAATTCAAATGGATATGGCATTAGATGAAATCAGTAACGCAGAAGCTAATACTGAGAAAATATTCTAGAACAAAGAATTAAGAAATGGACTTGTAAAATTTGAGAGAAAAAATTAAAAGACATGGAAGATTAATTCAGAAGGTCCAATGCCTAACAACAGAGGTTCCAGAGGGCTTACCAGAGAATGAAATAGAAGAAAAAATCAAGAAACTAAGAGAAGAAAACCTCCCAGAAGTAAAGAACTGAATAATCAGATCAAAATAGCTCATGAAGTGGCAAGGAGGAGGATGATGGCGCTAAGGTCGGTTCTGACATCACTGAATAATCACAACAGCCAGGGACTGCCCACCTCTTGGCTTCTTATTATGTGAGTTAAATAAACTTCTCCTTATTGTTTGCCTCAGTCTTTTACTAAAAGCATGACTGATACAATTCCGTTCATGATAGCAATACAAAATATAAATGCTCAGGACTATACTTAAATAATGTTGAAGATCTATATAAAGGAAACTGTACAAGAGGACCTGAGTAAATGGAGTAAATTATCGTGTTCCCAGTACGAGAGGACCAATACTGCAGTTCATCCCAAATTAAGTTTTAAGTTCAATATAATTTGACTCAAATCCTAAAAGGACTTTTAAGTAAAATGTGACAAGCTGGCTTTAAATTTTATTTGGAAAAGAAAATGTTCAAGAATAGCTAAGAAAATTTTTAAAGAGAGGAATCGGGACAGGGGAAGCAAATTTTCCCTATCACATATCAAATCATGTCATCACGTAGTAATAACCAAAATAAACGTAGTAGGAGTCCAAGACTAGACAAAGAGATCAATGGAAAGAATAGAAATTTATAAATAGAGTCTTTATGTATAAAAATAATTTTAATAATAAAAATGGAATTTCAAAATAGAGCAAAAAAGATAATGCTTGAACAAGTACATAACCATTTTTAAGAAAAAAAATTGCTTGACACCTGTCCCACCTTACATAATATAAAACAATCTCCAGATGTCCAGATGGATTAAAAATGCTAACAGTCTTAAAACAAGCTATCTAAGTATTGGAAGAAAATAAAAAAGAATATTTATTATAAGCCTTTTGAAAGAAGACATAAAATTTAGAATCCAAACAGAAAAAGATTGAGAGTTGATCTCTTAAAAATAAACATGTAAATTATGAATTAAAATAACAAATAAGTTTTTGTTAGAAATAAAAAGACAAGTAATAGGAAAATCTTCTCAACATATGATAAAGGATTAATATTGAGAATGCATGTAGGGATTTTTCAAATCAATATGAAAAAGACACAGTCTAATGTCAAAGGATATAACAGGTGATTCATAAAACTATAAATAATTTTAAGCATATAGAAGAATGAAATATCCTGTTTTTTGCCCATCAGATTGGCCAAAAAAAAAAAAGATTGATAATGTCTTGTGTTGGTAAAGACACAAAAAAACATGCACTGTCACACACTATTGAAAATCTATAATATTTCAAAGCCTTTGAGGAGAGAATTTGGCAAAATCTAACAATATTTAAAATGGATATATCCTTTGACTCCCCAGTTTTCTACAAATCTATCCTGTAGATAAACTTCCATGTTTGTAAAAAGATGCATCTACAATGATGTTCACTGAAATATTGTTTTAAATAGTAAAAATAAAACAGAATACAACCTATATATGTTATCAACAGGGAACAGTCAAATAAATCAGAGTATTACTGAATAATATGCAGCCACCATAAGAATGAAATGTACATGTATATGTACTGAAGTGAAAATATGTCCAAAACATATTGTTAAAGGCAAAAAAAATGACAGAATACTTAGAACTTGATTCTACTATGTAAAATGGTGTATGCTGTTATATATATAAATGCATAGAGAAAGGTCTGAAAGCAAATACACAAAACCTTTAACAGTGGGTGCCCTGGTGAAGGGAGAGGCGGTGGGGTTAATGTGAAGGCAGATTTTCATGTTTATTCTACAGTTTTCAATATAGTTTGAATCTTTTCCTGTGAGAATACAGCCATATATTACTCACGTAATGTATGTGCCTGATAAAAATACTTAATTGTCATAATGACTTGTTTTGAAAATTAACTCCTTTACAGAATAACCGTTATACACACACACTCATACATATATATATAGCATAAACTTGACATAACATTATTAGACTTCAAATTACCGTTTTGTTCCCATTTAAGAAATTTCAGTTTAAAAACATATATAATAATTCATACCACTGTAATGTATTCAAATTCAACAATGTATTCTGGCAAAACAAGGTCATGATCAAAGACAAACCACTTGCACTGCCGAAAGCCACAATCACAGTTTCTTTGTCCCAGGATGGAATCTAAAGTAAAAATAAAAATAAGCAAAACAAACACTCATCAATGTGAAACGTAATACAGTCCTCTGTATCTATGGGTTTTGCACCTACAGATTCAACCAACTGCAGACTGGAAATATTTTAAAAAATACAATAAAAAATAATACAAATAAAAACAATATAATTATTTACATAGCATTTCCTTGTATTAAATATCATAAGGAATCTAGAGATTATTTAAAGTATATGGAAGGATGTGCATAGGTTGTATGCAAACGCTATACCATTTTATAGAAGGGACCTGAGCATCTGAAGAGTTTGGTATCTGTGGGGGTCCTGGAACTATGTACATCTTCATTCCTACATAGATTAATAAATAACAAACTCATAAATTACAACATTTAGATTATTGAGGGCTTTTTTTCTTTTATCTCCCACCCCAACAGCTTCTTAATTCTATAAATACTCACTAATCATTCTTTCACTACATAGAATAAGTAATAGGGTTTAATTTTATTCATATCCTTTTCCTTTTCATACCTTTTCACTTTTCTATCCAATGTGTAGCCATGTATTTCTGACAAAGGTATTACTCTAAAACTTTGTTGATAAAAGTTGGGTGGTTTTTTAACCTTTGAAAACTAATACATACATACATGTATATGTATACATACACACAAATATACAATTAATTTAAAATTCGCAAAATAAACTATGCACACATATCTAAATGTCATTGAGGTAGGGAATAGAAAAATTATTAGTGGCCAAGAACAGATTTTTGTTAAAACGCCTACAAACGTTGTTAGGTAGATGTTAAATTATAATGATCTGTATTAAATTACAAACATTTTGCATTCAGAGAGATGAAAACACATTTCTCTTTATGGCCAACATACTTAATAAATATTTCCGAGGAATGAACACTGAATTAACCATTGGATAGTTGGCTTGATTGATGGATTCTTGTTCACAAGCCTGAACACTCTGGCCAAGGAAAACCTTTGTAATGAGTAGGATGCCTAAATATGAAAAAATAGAAATCATATTTAACAAATAATTCATTTAATAATTTTCCAATATAACCTTTTATATTGGTCTCAGACTTGACTGTTTGTTCTGTAAAGGCAAAGAACATGGCTATCTTGTTCAACACTGTTTGGTACATACCACATTGCTTGATCCAAAATAGGAGCTCAGCAAATATTTGTTGCATAAATGAAATAGTTATTAAAGAGGAGTCCTATGATTACATCAAGCAAAACTTTACAGAAAAGGAAGAAGGAAAGAACATAGTAATTTAGCAATATTTTTTATTAAGTAGTTTAAAATAAAAAAGTGGTTTGGTTTTTTTGTTTGTTTGTTTGTTTGTTTTTACTGGGTAAAAATTCGCCTCTGTATCTAGCACACAGCTTAGATCACAGCAGGCACTCAATACGTCTACTGAATGGATGAACATTTTTCTTCCCTTTAGATTTTTAAGGATCCTTGCACTCACTAAATCCTAAGGATCTCTAGGTGTCAATGAATCTGAAAAAATAATTTCTAATCACTATGTATAAAACTTTCAAATAATCTTTGTTTTTACTATGTGCAAGACATAAAATGTAAATTGGGATAAATTGTTCCTAATTGTTTTGGAATATATATTCTGTAAGGGTCTAACAGAACATCAAGAGTTATTTCTTGGGCCGGCCCAGTGGCGCACTGCTACAGTGCGCTGTTTGGGAGCGCGGTGGCGCTCCTGCCGAGGGTTCGGATCCCACATACAGACCGGTTCCCGCTCACTGGCTGAGCAAGGTGCGGGCGCGACACCGAGGGTTGCGATCCCATTGCCGGTTCCGGTCCAGTATGGGCGCGACACTGAGGGTTGCGATCCGTTGCCGGACACGAAAAAAGACAAAAAAAGGAAAAAAAAAAAAAAAAAGAGTTATTTCTTAAGATGGGAATGGAGAAAAATGATTAAATAGCAGCAAGTGGTTTTTTTCAAGTAAGGAGTTCTTTCTAGATTCAATAATCTGCTTAATTTTCTGATTATTAATATTAAGTGAATAAAAGACTGCAAAGCATGCATAATTTAGTTCACAATGAACCAATTATTAGCAGAACTATAGTCTAGAACCTAGAATGTCATTCTTATGGAATTAAGTTAACCAAATTTCTGACTACCCAATTTTCAGTAGATTGGATGGTTGAGGCCAAAGAATAGGTTTTCCTCACTCCTGACCTGATCTATGCTCCCTATTATACATCCTTTGGTACTATGCATTAATACTTCATATTTATAAGCCCTGATGATAACTGTAGTTTTACATTTATTTGTTATTATTAATGTTTGTAAACAAAATAAAGGAGAAACTGTCTAGTCTGTATACACTGTATCCCTATCACCCACCTGTGCCTAATGCATAATAAGCATTCAATAGGAACTTGTGGAACTGAAGAATGGACAGTGGAAGAAGGGAAGGCAAGAGAGGACATGATGAGCTGGTCTTTTTCCTCAACATGTGTGCACCAGGGAATCTCTCCCAGAAGCGTACTACAAATTGCTTAATGTACTTTTATATACTCAAGATGCAAATAAAGTACTGATAACTGTGAATAAATTAAAATACCACAAGTGTATCTAGTTCTATAAGACAACATATAAAGTGATTTATACATTTCACAATTTAAGTGATTTTAAATTATAGCCAGGTTTTCTTACTATCTTACATTATGAAGATTCAGGACAAATAAGGCTTCCCTTCCAGAGAGCTTTATATGATTATTGTATATATGAGCCAAGTTCTCTTTCCCTTTTCTGTGAACTTGTTGTGTGTGTAACATATATATATATATATATATATATGTTGAGTTTATTTTTACAATACAAAATAATGAACAAAAGTGTAAATATGTTGGATTAAATATCTGAGTAACAAATGAGTCTCTTCCTATTAAAGCTGACATACAGTAATCACTCAGTAAATGTTTGTTAAAACTGTGGCCAAATTAATATGAGAAAATCAGGTATTACTACATTGGTAAATATGAAATAAAATGGTTTGAAGAGAATCTCCTACATTGATAAAACCAAGTGTCAAAAATGATATGAAAATAATTAATGAATTTGAAGGTTTAGAACTTAAAAGGTCAGAAACACCATATATTTGTATTACCATGTCTGAAGAGCTCATGCTCAAGAGAGTTTTTCTTCTCATCCTTGTACTTTTGCTGTAGAAATTCAATTCTGGGACACTCACATATACTGAGGTTATTAGCAAGAACAACGGCTTCTTTTTTGAGAGGCAGCTGTAAAGAAAAAACAAAGTCTGAATAGTTTTACAAAATTAACAATACTCAATACAGATGGTTTATTATTTTATGTTTATGTGACAGGGCAAAGAAATCTGCAGGCCAGACTCACTGAAAGGAAGTAGATAACCTTCAGGTGCGACTTCATTCTGCAAAGCCATTTATATATTTTAAATTCATGTGCAAATAGGTTTATAAAAGTGATAATATAAAACAAAATTTGCTCCTGGAAAAGTAGCCAAAGTCAAGACTGACAACACTGTATGGTGCAGAAGTAACAGCTTTCAATGAGTACTCCACTAATAATCTTGCTAACTTCAAAAAGAAAATCCTGTGGGAATCAGACATTACATCAGTGAAGGTCCTTACTTATATCAAAAATATTTGGTCTAATAATTTACATTGTTTTCCAGAAACAAAACATTTCTTACTGTGTTAATGCTTAGAAATTGTAGTTTGCATTGTAACTAGCTTTATTTCTTGAAAGTGTTGTAATAGTAATATTCACATTATTTGCTATGAAAGTAGCACTAAAAAGCAAACAAAAATCTCTATTTTTAGTAGTAAGAAAACTAGAGCTAAAAGAGACTATATGATCTGTCCAAGAACAGAATGAGAAAGTGACAGTCATGATTTGAACTGAGGTCTACTTGTCCTTGTAACAATATCAGAGTTTTGAAATTACCACTAATTTAATACCAACAGCCAAATTATTTAGAAGTGTATCTTTTCTGTAAATGCTGAATTTCCTATACATATTTTTTCTTATTGAAACCTGTTATCCAAAGAAGTTCTTAAAAAATAAATACTCAAATGTGCTCATATGACCACAAATTTCACAACTCAATAAGTAACCTCAGAACATCACAAAATATCCATTAAACACAATCTGGGTGCATGGCATTGTGAGGCTATAGCATTGTTTTGGGCCCCAATTAAAAGAGGGGAAGATAGGAACTATACCTAATAATTAAAAATACAAGGCATCTCAAGATGTGTCACATAAGATATCTTTTTTAACCAAAGTGATTAGAAAAGAATTTGCAGAGGTAATGGGATCATGGTTTGGCCCTGACGATTGAACATAACTCAAATAATCAGAATTCAAAAGGAAATTACTTTTAAGAGGAGAAAAATATATGAAGATATAGAAATAGGTGTGATCGACAACCATCCATCTGCTCAACTATCCATCCATTCATCCACCAGACTTCTACTAAGAATCTACTCTATAAACAAAGTTCCAGCCTTTAAGGACGAGTGGAGAAATGCACACAAATGCACAAATGCATACGTTTCAATATAACAAATGTATTACAATAAAAATTCTCAGTTGATCACCACTTAATTAACTACCACTTAATTAACTACTTAATTAACAACCAATTTTCAGGATTAACTAGTATTTTCCATTCTCTCTATAACTCACAGTATGATGACAGTTCAGGTTAAGGTTAAGGTCAACGTTAAGATGATACTTTTTAAAACACTGAGGTACTTTCTACCCAGTCATACTGTATACTTACCAAGAGTCAATTAATTTCATCTCCAAACTTGTTTATGCCAGTTGTACTTGTTATTGAAATTATACACATTACATAAAGCAATGAAATAGAAAGAAGGAGAGTTGTTTCTTGGAAAACCAAATGGAAAATTGGGCAAAATTCAATAGAGGCTAATCATTAAAAAGTTCTCCCAAAGTATGTATGTGTGGGGAAGGCAAATGCAATAGTGTGATGGTAACAGGGGAGACAGACTAGATGGATTCTTGCATTCAAGTTACTTTGCAAGAATCTTAAGTGTGTGTTCAACTTTAAGGAAACCAAAACTAATAGGAAATATGGTTGTGGCTGATACAAGAAGACTTCTCAGAGTTCTAATATCATAGTCAAAGACCTTGGCCACAAATAAATGGAAATCTATGTTTGAAGTTACATTGAAGGATTTGTTAAGTAAATCACTTGTTTACCGTTTTCCATTTTAACTGAGTTTTTTGATTAATCTACAAACTAGATAAGAGGACTCCTACTGTCTGAGAATTCAGGAAGGGCTTCACAGAGGAGGAAAACCTTGAGCTGAGAGTAGAAGGATGAATGAGTTTGCCACGGGGAAAAAGTAGGAAAGAGCATTTCATCAAAGGGAGACATGGCATTGAGTTGTGTTTAGCAGAATCACAAGTACAGTACAAACTTCATTTGGGACAGTTAGTGTATTTAGTAATAGGGAGTTAGGCTGCAGCTAGATTGTGAGGGTTCTGAGAGGCCTCAAATGCCAGGCAGAGGAATTTGAACTTCAACATTATAAGTAATGGGAGGCTAAAAGGTTTCTCATGAGCACAATGCAATGTGCACTATGAACATAATGTTTTAGGAAAGATTGATCTGTCTGTCCTGTGAAAGGTGAAAGGGTTAGAAAAACTGACCAAGGGCTAGGTTGCCTATTGGAAAACTAATGACAAAGATCTGAAGGAATGTTTTTAGGGCTTACTGTGAGGGCAGGCAATGGTAATAGGGAGGGTGAGGGAGAACACAATTGATACAGTAAAGGAAGAATCACTAGAAATGGTAAATGATTAGATGTGGGGATAATGGAAGAGGGAGGAGCTGAACAGCCTTGGATTCTGGTTAGTGGAGGGAATATTGTCAGTAGAAATCAGGAAAGATGACCAGGAGAGAGTTGCTTAGAGGCAAAAGATTAAAGGCTGGTTTTATACATATTATATATGAAGATAAGGCAGATTAACCCTGCAGGAATGGCAGCCATGGGTGTCACAGCAGAGATCAGAGGATGGGCTGGCTGAGGATATACATTGGGGAGAAAGCCAAAAAGTAATAAGTGATACTCCTTATGGCTACTGACCAATTCATTGGTTATCAAAGAGAATGTGTGGTAGGGCATGAACTTGAGCCACGTGAGCAGATTTAGTGATGAATCCGTAATCTGTCACCCTCAATACTGAGCACTTTATCCTGAAGTGACAGAAATAGCTCTTTCCTCTTCAGCCTAGAGGTGGATTTACTTCAGATGTGTTTTTCAGTCAAATAGTTCCTTCTTTCCCACACTAGCCAGCCCTCTGCCTTACAAAGACACTACCAACTCAGCCAAACCTCTTTTCTAAACTTCTTACACAGCTGCCTTTTACATCAGAGCTTACCTCTTAAACAATACAGAACATAAATATCTATTCACTGGGCGCACATCGTTGCATAGAAATCTAGCTCATCTTTTACATGCTACACTGTGATATTTCCCCCATTTCTAGGACCATAACAATGAGAGTAATTGATGGTATGTGGAGAAAGAAGGGCAGATCAGTAAACTTTAACCTTGTGGTATTATGTTTAGAGGCAAATGAGGAACAAAAAGAAACAAAGAAAGGACAATCAGAACAGGAGGATAATGATAGTGTAATAGGAGAGTTTCAAAAAGGAGAGTAATCAGGCCGAGCCTGTGGCGCACTCGGGAGAGTGCGGCACTGGGAGCGCAGCAGCGCTCCTGCCACGGGTTCGGATCCTATATAGGGATGACCGGTGGGCTCACAGCGCTCACTGGCTGAGTGCAGTGCGGCCGGTCTCAAAAAGGACAAAAATAAATAAATAAAATAAAATTTTTAAAAAAGGAGAGTAATCGATAGTATCAAATATTTCAGGCAATAATGGTAAAGTATCAAAAACTTTCTGTGTGCCAGGCACTGGTACAAGAACTTTTTAGTAAATTTTAATAATACATTTTATTTAATCTCATATATACAAAATATTATCACTTGAACATGTGTGCAATATAAGAAATTATAGTCTTTTTTCCACACTAAGTCTTAAGAAACTGCTGTTTTAAACTTTCAACACACTCAATTTTTTTTTTTATTGAAACATAACTGATTATACACATTGGTGGGGTGCAGAGTTAACTATCAATGCTTGTGTACAATATGCGGACACTCAGTTTGGACAAGCCACTTTTTAAATGCTCAGTAGTGACATGCAGGTGGTGGCTACCCTATTGGACAGAGCGGCACAGACAGCTGCTGGGAGAATTAAAGGAGATAGTTCATGCCTTAGGAGAGGCAGGCAATAAGCACTCAGCACAGTGTCTGGTAGGTAGAAAACACACAGAAAGTGTTAGCCCCATTCTTGCCACACCCTCTGTGCTCATAATGGTTCATAGTGCTGTGGACTACATGTACGAACTTCACTGAGCCTTCTAATACCCCGAATTCCTCACTTCCACCTTACTTCTCTTCCAGAAGTACAATGAGGGCACTCTCACTGCAGCAGCTCCCCCATACAGCACCCTCATCATCTGCTCCTGCTCCCTTCAATCTGTTCTCCACTGAGTGGCTGCAATGCTTTTTTTGGTTTATAGTGGTAAAATATGCATAAGATGAAATTTACCATTTTAACCTTTTTTTTTTTCCTTTTTGTCTTTTTTACTGACCGGTAACGGGATTGCAACCCTTGTTGTCGCGCCCGCACCGCGCTCAGCCAGTGAGCGGGAACCGGTCTCCACATGGGATCCGAACCCTCGGCAGGAGCACCGCCGCGCTCCCAAGCGGCGCACTCTCCAGTGTGCCACCGGGCCGGCCCCATTTTAACCATTTTTAAGCATACAATTCAGTGGCATTAGGTACATTCACATTGTTATACCATGATTACCACTGTTCATCTCTAGAACTTTTTCCGTGCCCCAAACTGAAACTCTGTACCCATTAAACAATACTTCCCCATCCCCTCATCCTGTCCAGCTCTGGGTCACCTCTATTCTACTTTCTGTCTCTCAATTTGTCTATTCTAGGCACTTTACATACATCGGATCATACAATATTTTTCCATTTGTGTCTGGCCCTATTTCACGTAGCATAGTTCTCAAGGTTTTTCCATGTTTGTTGTGCCGTGTATCAGAATTTCATTTCTTTTTGTGGCTGAATAATATTCCATTGCATATATATTTTACATTTTGTTTATCTATTCATCTATTGATACAATTTGGGTTGTTTCTACTTTTTGGCTATTTGTATACCGATGCTATGTTCATCTGTGTACAACTATCCAAGAATGTTTTTATGCATTATCTCACTAAATCCTAATAACAAGTCTGTAAAATAGATACTATTATTATCTTCACTTTATAGATAGGAAGAAACAGACACAAAGAGGTAAAGCCACATGGTAGGTGGGTAGGAAAGCTAGGATTCAGATGTGGCAATATTACCATTTTATGTATGCCATGATGTGAAAAGGGTTGGGAAGTACTGCTCTATCCTCGTGTGCCACAGCTGCCTCATCGAGAGGGTGGAAGACTGAGAAAGGTCGCTCGGATATTTTGAAGCTCAGGAGTGACGAATAATAAAGCAGTATGAGTAGCAAGGTGGGGACAGTGAAGTAGAGGATAAGGAAATGGTGGCAGTAAAAGGAAAAAGGAAACAGTAGGACAGCTAGAAAGATAGAAGGTACGGCAGAATTAAGTGAATAATTTTTTTTCAAGATGGAAAGACCTGGAGAGTTTATAACAGATTAAAGATTTATAACAGATTTATAGCCAATTAAAGAAGTTGACTTCAAAATCTTCAATAGAAGGATCACAACATGAAAAGAAGATGTCTTGAAGGATTAAGAAGAGTCAGGCAGATAAAGTAATTAATGGACTTAACTCTGGTATAATCCAAAGAGGAAAGATGTTATACTTTCCATGATAACACCAGTCTTTTTGTGAAACAGCAGTAGAAGTTTGCTATAAATATGGATAAAAGGATTGAGAATCATGCTTAACAAGCTGCAGAGCTCTACTCATTAGGAAGAAAGCATTATTCCAAATGACATTTTATACTACCTTGCTTGTTTCACTCTCTTTGAATCCTTTTTCAAGTATTTGTAGCAGATGCTTTTTCTTCACTGTAACTTCGGGATCAAAAACATAAAAAAGGCATTCCAGCATCTTTCGATAGCTCCTTAAGAATAATTGAAACAAAAAATTTAAGAATTGATTTTACAAAAACTTAGCCATAGATCAGATAGCCATATGCACTGCCATGGATATTTTCCATTTACGTCAGATGTTCCAGCATCATTATTAATATCTCCATCCACCCACCCTCCACTCTCAAAAAAAGGCACAGTGTGAATAAATTATGAAGTCATCCTAGCTACGCGAGAAGCAAGAAAAGGAAACATTTACTAACAGGATGTATTTTCAATACTGTTAACTTTTAAAACAAAGACTTTTTTTATAGAATAAAGTCAAACGCTTATTAAATTGTTCCTTAGAGAATTCAGCTCCTTACTCTGAATCATGCATATCTTCATTGTCCAAAGACTTTTGAAATTTCTCTTCAAATTTTAGTCTCAGTATACGATTGTTGACTTTAATGACACGTTTTACTTTTACTCCTGTAATACCATACTTTCTGAAGTCCCATGTACAAAAACGTGATAGGATTAATTCATTGCAGGAATTAAACCTATGTGGGAATACAGAATATACATAAACAAAATAACAGATCATCCTTAAAATGTTCAAGAAAACAAAGTTACATATGATAAAATTATAGCTCATATTTTGTATATTTTGCTACAGATATATACTCACATAGTAGCTCTGCTTTGGTTCAAAACGGGCATACTTATTCAGTCAACAAAAGAGATGCTAAATTTTGAAATATAGTAAAAATAATAGCTTTTTCATTAACTATTTGTTATGTATTTGGTCTGCCTAAAAGATATGTTGGTTGAGGAATCCTTCCTTTCTGAAACTTTTTTTTTTTTTTGGCCTCAGTGAAATTACATATTCTTGGCTTTCTTATTGACTGCTCCTCCATAGCTCTCTTTGCTGGTTCTTCTCTGACAGACTTCTAAACATTGGATTGCCCCAGGGATCAGTCTTTGGCCTTCCCCTTGTTTCCATGAACACGTTCCCTAGGTGATTTTATCTGGTTCTCTGGGTTTATACATATGATGAAAAATTACAACATTTTATTTCTAGCCTTGATCTCTACCCAAGTAAGCTGGATAGATGCAGACTTGAATATCCAACTTGATACGTCCACTAGCATATGTAATAGACCTCTCAAGCCTAATTTATCTAACACTTACCTCCAAACCTGCTCCTCCTGAGTTTTTCCCATCTCAGGATATGACACCACCATCTAACTAGTAGCTTAGAACAAAATTGCAGGAATAATCTTCTCTTTTCTTTTTCACCAGTTATCTAATTCTTTAGCAAGTCTGTTTAGCTCTACATCTAAAATATGAGGGTACTTCAAAAAGTTTGTGGAAAAATAGAATTAAAAGATAGGATGAATATTTCCATGTACTTTTTGAAGATCACTTATACATCCTGAATATAACCATGTTTCATCATCACCCCTGTTACCTTCCTAGCCCGAATCATCATCATCTCTCAGTTGGACTATTGCAATAACTTCCTGTCTAGGGATATAGAAGTGAAAGAGGCAGTGTCTCTGCTCTCATGGAGCCTATATTCCAAGGGGGTGGACAAAAGATAAATGAGAGGCTTGGAGTAAGGAATGCAGGGGGGACCTACTTAAGATATGGTTTTGGGGAAGACTTTTCAGAGAAGATATTTGATCTGAGAACTGAAGGAGGAGGGGCCAACTATGTGATGATCTCAAGAACAAGTGCTTGTTTCCTCTGCTGCCCTCACCTGGCCATGATGAGAAATTCTGGTCCTGTCTTAAAGTAGCACAGAATCTAGATTAAGATAGAATGAAAAATGGATCATTTCGAGAAGGAAGGAAGTGATAATTACTTACTTACAAAGGCAAATGGATGCATTTGCCTTTGATGACACTTCTAGGTCTTCATCTACATAATCAACCAGGGCATGAACATGGGTGTGAGCTATGATCACAGATGAGAGTTTCCTGATGGATGGTCTCTCCCTGAGCCTAATTTCTGAGCTCCTAACAGAGCATCTGCCTTTCTCACTGGCAAAGATTTAATCACTGCAGCTAGGAGCTGACTGATTACTCATCCCTTAGAGTTGAAAGTGATCTGCCCAAACCAAACTAACCCCAGAGGGGCTCATCGTCTGGTAGAGGATGCAGATAAGAAGTGCTGCAATCCAGCATGAAGCCTGCTAACCAGTTCAGAGGTTGTTAAACAGCCACATTATCATTTGGGGTGGGAAACCTACTTCTCTTCCTATAAAGGCATCATTTGCTGTGCCTAAATCAGTCAAGTCTCCCCTAAACCATACATCCTGGAATCATTTTTTTTTTCCTTTTTGTCCTTTTTCGTGTCCAGCAACGGATCGCAACCCTCAGTGTCACGCCCGTACCGGACCGGGACCGGCAACGGGATCGCAACCCTCGGTGTTGCTCCCACACCTCGCTCAGCCAGTGAGCGGGAACCGGTCTGTATGTGGGATCCAAACCCTCGGCGGGAGCGCCACCGCGCTCCCAAGCGGCGCACTGCAGCAGTGCGCCACCGGGCCGGCCCATGGAATCATTTTTATACTTCCTGAACTCTGATAGAAAGTGAAGCTCTCATTTTTATACTTCCTGAACTCGTGCTTTAGGCATTTTAGATAAGGTTTTTGTTATATAGTGGACATCTCAGTAGGGCTCGAGGGTTCTTGAGAATTGGTGGAAGTGATGAACAGACAATACCTAGCTTCTAGTCTGGTCCCAAGAATGCAGGAACCAGGAATAGGCACAGGAAACTCCATGAAGTATAATCCTTTCATAGCGCTTTATTTTGCCCTGGAATTTTGCAGCTGAGTGATGGTGAAGTGAGGGCGGGGGATGCAAAGGCATTCTGGGTGAAGGAAGCAGAACAAACAAAACCACTTATGTGGTACAGCACCAGGTATGCTCCAAGAGCAGTGAGGCACTTAGTTCAGCTGACTATAAAAGGTTTGAAAAGGAGTTATGATAGTTTAGAGACAATACAGTGGAGGATATTGAATCTCCATTGCAGGTGAAGAGTTTGAATGTAATTTGGAAGGTAACAGACTGCTACAAAGGCCTTTATTTTCTTTTGTTTTTAACAGAGTGCTTTCTGTGAAGGAAGCCTGCCAGCAGGGATCATATGAGAGACCATTTAGGAATCTTTACTGATAGATTAACAAATTCTGAGTACCTGCTATATGCAAGCACTGTGCACAAAGACCTGTGTGAAGGTGATTGTAGTCACAATGGACAGGAGAAAATGAATGCAAATAATATCATGGAGGAGCACCTGTGGGCTCAGCCCCTGATGGGATGTGGAGATTGAAGGAGAGAATGGAGTCAATAATGGCCTCAATGTTTGTTGAGTCTGGATAACCAAAAAGATATCAAAGCAAACAAAACAAAAACATAAAAACTGAGAACTAAGTATTTTCACATTATCTTGTCTAATCCTACCAGTAACCTCTTGAGGTAGATTATTTTTCTCATTTTACAGATGAGGTTCAGATGGGTTAAATGGTTGTTTCAAGATCATGCAGATAGAGTTTGAACCTAGGTCTTATGTCTCTAACTCCTTTATGTATTCTATTACTTCATAGCTGATTCCCTTTTGAATGTGTTGTTTGCCTTGCCAGTTGGACATCCAGATAGAAATGTCTAGAAAACAGGAATTCAGGACTTCAGTCTAGGAGTGAGGTTGTAGCTATAAGTAATTACGAAAGTGCAGGAGTAGAAGAGACTGGCAAAGCAAGGTATAAAAAGAAAATAGAAAATATCTAAGTACAAAAAACAAGTGAGATGGAGTTACAAGGAAGGAATGGTTAACAGTGTCAAGTACTTCTGTGGTCTGAAGAACGAGGGCCCTCATTTCATTGGGTACCTCACTCATTTAGCGGGACCTGAATGGAGAAGCACCCACAATTACACATCGTTGACTAAGGTACCCAGTTACACAGAAAGATGTCTACAAACTTTTGTTACTATACAAATTATGTATTCATTTAGCAAATGTAGAATTCACATGTTTTTAAATGGTTAGAGCTTAATCCAATCTATTAAAATGCACCTAATAATCCTAGACAAGTGTTTAATAAATACTGTTACCTGACTTGCTGACTTAAACCAGCATTTTAGCAGTATAAAACAAAAAGTTTGTGCTGCTGTAGCTCCTTGAAATAGTACAGCATGAAATCTTTTTACATAGTTAGAATAATTACTGAAAGCCATTATATACACAAAAGTGAAAGTGTTAAGTGACCATCTATAAAGTGATATGGAAACTTCACTTGATCTTAACCAAAAGGCCGAGAAGCAATGAGATATGGAGACTGCAATTAGTAATTATCTATTGGGCTATGGATTCAGTCCTGTGCTGAATTAAATAAGGCACAGGAAACATCAGATACATCCCAAAGGAGCTTACAGAGTCACTTATATATTGTTTTGTGGTGCTTCATTGTAAATATAGTATATATAACCAGGTTAAAAGCTTCTCAAGCACAAGGATAGCATCCTTCATGCTTTAGAGTCCCCATTTGATAATTGTCTGATGTCAATGGATAACTCAATTGGTAATACATAGGTAAATAACATGAATATGTAATGATAAAGTTATAGTGGCAACAATACACTCAACTGGCAAGTTTCTGTAAAACAAGGATTTTTTAAAAACTAAAAAACATAGCAATTTGATTTCATAAAAGAAATGAAGCTAAGAAATATTGAATGATATATAATTAGAAATCTGCAGTGCTTTTTTTGGTGAAAGAAATAAAGGCTATTTTATTATAAACATTTCTATTTGACTCCTAGCTCCGCTTAAATACTTTCATTCAAATGCTAAATCCTTGGCCTTAAACATATTAACAAAAGAGAAGTCAAGTTTAAATAAAACAACTAGAAATGTAGCACACAGTAATATAAAGCACTTTAGTAGTTATTTTTTAACATACGTAAAAAGATCAGAACTAAGATGGCCAAGCTTATAGTATGCTAAAAGTAAAAAACAGTCCTTGAAATTCTGCCAACATATATTTGATTTTCTCCTTAAAATGGATCAAGGTTATTTATTCTTATTAAAACCAAGCAAACAATTGTTAATGCTTATCAAAACCTATCAAAAAAGCTTTCTTGTTTACTATTAGGCTGACATAGTTATCTAGATGGCTTTTTAGTCATTTTGCTTTTACATTTTTTTTATTAATCTGTTCATTTTGCAAAGAGCTTACTTTGTAATAAGTTAAAAAAAACCAGAAATAATAAAAAAAATTCTGCTCAGGTTGTGTGCATCTAAATAAAAGACTGAAAAATTATTTGGGCCCCCTGCAGAGAGACACCATTCAGCTTTTGCACTTGAAAAATCAAGGCCTTTACTTGTTTACATGGGAACTGGGATTAACATCTTTTTTTACCTTTGTACATAAAAATCAAATACTGTGGTTAAGCAAACAGTGGTAACTGCTGGGCAAATGGATGCAATGATACAAAAGAAACTGTTTTAAAAGGTCTCTTTCACCTTTGGGAATAGCCTCTCACACTTTTCTATCAAAGTACCCCAAGACCGTTGAGAAGCTTTTTCTCACAGAGGTGAGTAAAAAGCCACATCTAATAGAAATCAGGGGTCTTGGTTTAAAGTAACCCATAACAATCACACCTTTTTTTTTCTTATAAAGTTAATGTAAATTTTGCATTCAGCTACATAAATATCAGTATTTGTTTTGATGCTAACAGAGTGAAATCATGCTCTAGGGTGATGTGCTAAGTCCATTCCATAGTTTTCTGTGCCTCCTGGTGTATCTCCTTCACATACCCAAGTTCCCAATATAGTTCTAGAGCCAACTTTGGCTGTTTCAGAGGCTCCTCTATTTTGAGAAAATGACTTCAGAAATGTGAAAGTCATAATAATAATAATATTTTTCAAAACTTACTTTTTTTCCCCCTTTTTCTTTTTAAGGACCATTTCTTATTGTGCCTCTAGTTGAGGCAACATATCACTTCCTTATTTCAACTAGTTGGCCTTGGTTCTAAAGCATGGATGCCTGCTATCAGCTTCTGTTTCTGGTAGCTCTCTCCATTTTTGTCTATATGGGCTTTTGACCTAAATTCCTGGTTTAAGCATATAACTTATTCTGACATGTAGTGTCCATGTGTACCCTGACTGTAGCTAACTCTAAACAATAGGGTGAAGGCTTCACTTTGACCATGGACCTGCAAGAGATTTGCTAAGGGACCTCTTCCCATGTTAACAACCTGCTGTTGCCAATCCTGCTTTGTTATTTCTGATCTGTTCTGGCTTCTCAACCAATATTCAGAATCCAGGGCTATATCCAGTCTAGAAATAAATAGTATAAACATCCATAAAAATTAATACTTGACCACAAACTATTCTTTTCTAAATTATATTCTGCTCTTGGGCAAAATAAAATTGTGTAAAGAGCAATGATATACCATTAGGATGTCTTCAAGGTTGGCTCACAGCAATGGGGTAAACAGAGAAATGTATAGGTGGTAAAATAAGTAATTGCCATAGGTCACTGCCAATTTTCAATAGATGAATATTCTGCATGAGAAATGTTTTGAAAATGGGACATTTTCAGATTTTACAAGTTGATATTCTGGTTGGTGATCCTAAGAACTTAAAATGATTTTTAAAGCTATACCTAAATTTCAAATAGATTTACCAGTCATCAGATCGAGTGCCTTCTTCAAAATGGATATTTCCCACAGTCTCCAACTCAATTAACAAAAATGGGATCAATAAGCCATGACTTTTCTTCTTTTGCTTTACTTCAATACGATAAATTGCTTCAATTCTATTAAAAAAATATATATATATAGTATTAGAACGATCTAAAAATCACAACATTAAAATTCGTGATAAATTTTCTTAACTAATGTTAAAATACAGGGCTTCTTTTCCATATATAAAGAAAGTGTGGTGTTAATGCTTAAACCAAGTAAAAGCAATTCTACTCTTGGCAATTAAAATCACCTCATATTTTGTTAACCTCAGAATTTGTGAACATTAGAAGACTATCCTGGCATTACCACTCTCAGAACTTAGACAGGTCACTTAAAATTTTTATGCCTCAGTTTACTCAGTATAATAGCAATACTAAATGTACCTATGACTAAGAACACTATTTTGAGTATTATATGCAAAATACATGTAAAGCTCTTAGCAAAGAGTTTGGCACAGAATAAAAACCCAATAAATATTACTATTATTGTTGTTAGTATTATTATACAGCAAACAAACTTATTAACTTAGTGCCTTGGGAAATTTTTTAAAAATTCACGGTTCTGGGCCGGCCCGGTGGCGCACTGCTACAGTACGCCGCTTGGGAGCGCGGTGGCGCTCCCGCTGAGGGTTTGGATCCCACATACAGACTGGTCCCCGCTCACTGGCTGAGCGAGGTGCGGGCGCAACACCGAGGGTTGCGATCCCGTTGCCAGTCCCGGTCCGGTACGGGCGCGACACTGAGGGTTGCGATCCGTTGCCGGACATGAAAAAAGACAAAAAGGAAAAAAAAAAAATTCACGGTTCTTACTAAGCCTTCTAGTTGATATTACTAGTTGATGACTGAACCTGAACTTTTTTCTCCATGATTCCAGACAACTGTGTATGTATTTTGCTAGATTCATCTATTTGGTGAGTTTCTGCACCAGTAGCAGCTCTATTGTTTTTAGTTTGCAGACACTAGAGCAGTGATATGACCGACAGGAAGCCACTCAGGGAAGTTCACTGTTCCTAACTAAGAACTGCCTCTGCGAAAACCTGTATGCCAGCTTCGAACCAATAATGTCTATCTGTACTAAGAACTGGAACTAGGAACACGTTTCATGTTTTACTTTTTACTATAGTGCTTTTCACTCCTGAGGATGGAAACTGATGGCTCAAAACATTTGTATTTTCTCATGTTTCAAATCTGAACAACTAGACAATTCATTAAACATACTCATCTAGTTTTTTGTTCCAGAATGTTACCCTTTCATTCAAGGCATTTATTTTGGCCTGTATCATTTGTTGAAGACTTGGTTCTTCTGTGACAGTTTCACAATTCTTTGATTTTTCAAGCTCAGTTACTTTATTATTATTGGATCTATCATTGTGCCCTTTGCTGGAACCCTTGAGTTCAGCCAGTTCTTGTTCCAACTGTTGAAAACAATGTACCAGAGAGCAAAATAAAAATACAACATGGTAAAGGCAAAGTGTGAATTCAGATATTAATTTTTGGTGGCATCTATTAAATAAATAGTTACTTTAAATTAACAAAGTAGAAATCTAGGTTAATACATAGGCCAAACTGCATAAACACATGTCAAATATGTGATTTCAAGTTTGGTGCAAGTTCAGTCAGTCAATTTCTCTTGACCAAGTGATAACCTTAAATATTTCAAACATGGTAGTCTCTCAATGGAAAATAAGCAAAAAAATAAAAAAATAGAAAATAAGTAGATTTTGAAATATTACTGATGAGTTTGCTTGTATTAAAGCCAAAGTGAAATTAAAATGAATGCTAGTTTTGGTTTTAAAAATTATTTAAACTTCAAATAATGCTGTGATTTTTAACACACCTACTTTTCAATTTTTTCAATAATTTTAAATTACTTTGGTGTTCTAGAAAAAAGAATTAACCATAAAAAAATACACAAAAGTGTATATATGGGGGTGTACACTTTTCCTTTTGCCACAGTCTCCTACATGGCTCACAATAGCAATGGTTTTTATTTAAGATTTTGATATTTTAGTTTATGTTGTTGTTGTTCATATAAACTTTTTGTATTAGTTTGGACATTTTTAAATATTGCATTAAATTTTATTTGTCTTGATCACTAAGGTTTGGGGCACTCCCTCAAATTTTGGGCCCAAGGCAAGAGTCTCACTCACTTGCCTCACTTATAATCCCAGCCTTATAAGATTTCAAGATAAATCATATCATATGAGAAGTGTATATAAACAGAAATTTACTAATCATCTAACTCCCTCTCTATAATAGCTACATCCAGCTATTACAAAACAAATTAAGCATATTTATAAAAATGTCTATAGTTTATATAATCTATAGCTATTATTTTTACATTTGCATATTTTACTTAATACATGCATTAGCACATGAAAATAGCAAATATAAAATGATTTCCATAGACTGTTCTCTTGTGATTTCTATTCATATAAATAATATAAATTTTATTTGTTTTACTTTAAAAATATCTGATTATAATTAAAATCTGCTCATTTTAGGAAAAAAGCATCAAATATATTTTAAAGCCTTGGTTTTAAATGGATATATAATATTCTGTCTTAAGAATGAATAACCCTTCTTTTGTTAAACATTTAGGTAGTTTCCAATTTTTTGTTGTTATTAACAGTGCAGTGATGAATAGTGTTATATATATAAAATCTTTTGAATAGAGTTCTAGAAGCAGACATACTGAGTTAAAGGCTACGAGCATTTTTAGGCTGTTAATATACATTACCAAAGTCACACTCCCACCAGTGATGTGTAGTGTGTCACATCCATCTTCACCAGCCTGAGTACTGTCTTGTGTTATGCTTTGACAGTTTTATAGGTGAAAACAGTTTCTTGTGATCTTAATTAACATTTGGAAATTAATAATCAGGTGGAGCTCTTCTTTGGAATGTTTATTAGTCATTTTTTATTCCTTCTGTTGCAAAATGCTGGCTTATGTACTTTACTCAATTTTTCTATTTGTATATTTACTTTTTATCTTGTTTTACTTATGAGTATATTAAGGATATTGACCCTTTGTCCACATGTTGTTGGAAATACTTTTTTCAGATTGTCACTTGTTGTTTACTTTCATTAATGATGCTTTTTAGTATAAAAGCATTTTATCATTATTATTATTATTATTATTATTATTATTATTGCAATCAAATCTACATTTTGTTCCTTTGGCTTTCATTAATGATGCTTTTTAGTATAAAAGCATTTTATCATTATTATTATTATTATTATTATTATTATTATTATTATTATTGCAATCAAATCTACATTTTGTTCCTTTGTGATTTCTGGTATTCCTTTTACCTGGCAGGCTGAGGAGAGTTAAATATGTTCATCTATGTATTTATTCCTCAATTTTTTCATGTTTTTATTTTTACATTTAATTCTTTTTTTCTCATTGGTATTTACTTTTGGTACAGTATAAAATAAGAATCCCCTACTCCCAAATAGTTTGACTATTTATTCCTCAGAAAATAAATATAGTAAGTTTTATATATACAAGTGTACTTCAAAAAGTTTGTGGAAGAATACAATTAAAAGATAACATTTGGGCCGGCACCGTGGCTCACTCGGGAGAGTGTGGCGCTGGTAGCGCCAAGGCCGTGGGTTTGGATCCTATATAGGGATGGCTGGTTCACTCACTGGCTGAGCGTGGTGCAGACCACACTGAGCCTGGGATTACAATCTCCTTACCGGTCAAAAAAAAAGAGATAACATTAATCTTTTCATGAACTTTTGAAAGAACTCCCCATACAAGGTTCTGTTTTGAGGTAAATAATCCTTAAATTTTCAGGGCCTAAAAGGAAATCCAATTTATTCTAAATAAAAAAGTACATATTATATACTTCTAAACTATAGCTTGATTAAAAGTTCCCACTTTGTTGTATACCTTAATAGTATTAGTAAAAGAATATTTTAGCACTTTAAAAAAGAAAATGAATTTTGAGCACAGCCTGCTGGTATTTAATAAAAATGCAGTTGAAATAAGTCTAACAGATCTCTGTAACTCTGATTTATATTTAATTACACGACTTTTTGAAAATTTCATAACTAAATAAGCCTATACCTTTTTTCAATTGCAGATTTCTAAGCACAGAATGCAGCTTAATTAAGTACCTGGAATCAAAATATAGGGGGGCAAATGACTTGAAAGTCAGTATTAATTTTGTATATTATAAATTTTATACATAAATTATTTTATAAAATATATCTATATTAACTATATATAAAGTATTTATAATTTTATATATATATATATAAAATTTAAGAGACATTGCTATTTTATCTGGCAGTTTTCTTAAGATGTGGCCACTGAAATTTTACATTATTAAATCTTACATTTTTTTTCACAAAGCTCAATAATTTTATCCGTTCTTCTGGCAACTTTTGTAATTTGCACTTTCGATCATTCAGTTTTTCAAGATCTTCATTAAGATGCCTCTGAACAGTTTTTATACGCATATTGTAATACATTATTTTTTTCATTGCTGTGGTCTAAAAGTTAGAAAGAAAACAACAAAACATTACCTAAAACAAATTATAGATAATTATTAGTTATACGAGTATGACATGTTCTACATAGCAATTTGAAGATTTTGCATGCTCAGTTACTAATACTAATGACAGCTGGAGTGAATGGCTACATGGAATTCTGTATTTAAACTTAATAAGCAAAATATAAAGTTCCATTTCTCTGTGGATAAGATTTAAGTGTGAGTCATATTCACATTTATTTCTGGGATAACAACATAAAGAGACTAGAGATAGAATTTAATTTTTAAAATAGTATCATTTAGCTGACGAGAGTACTACTAAAGCAAATATATAATTACATTATTACCATTTGATTAACTCAGGGAAAAAACAGATAAATTAAAAAGAATTAATAACAAATGTAGGACTTCTGATCAAGATGGTGGAATAGATAGTACCCAGCTCCACTCACTCCCACAGTCGATCAATTTACAACTATTAAAAAGCAACAACTGCCAAGCTGGGGTCGCTAGAACACAGGGGAGGAGGAGGAGAGACCTATGGAGTTCATAAAGGTAGGAGAAGCCACAATGAGAGAAAGAAAGGACCGCTCTGACCATTTCGAGCCCGAACCACTTCAAGACTGGCCCTGACAGAGCAAGAGCTGGCAGTTGCTTGGAGGCTGCAGGGCAAAAGCGGGCCTTGGTGGCCCCAGGCCAGCAAGACCACAAACATGGTTCCTGTGGACCTACACAGGAGCAAGGGGCCACAGACAACTGAAAAAAGGAGCCATTCAGAGGCCAGTGAGTCATTGCAACAGACCAGTGCATTGCCCATCCCATGGGAAGTGTTTGGAGTGCAGGAGGTGGGGGAGACTGGCACACCAGAGGAACACTGGGGCACAGCATGGACAGCTGATCTGTCCTCCAATCAGCACAGGACCACTCAGAGGAGACTGGTCAGGAATACAGAACTGCAGGGGGTGCAGCTCCCTGAAAAGACTCAGGCCCAGACCAGAGTTTCCACACAACCCAGGTGTACTGGACCTCACAAGACCTGCAAGTGCTTACAAGGTCAACAATTAAAACCTGAGCTGCACGAAAAGCCTTCCCCAGAGAATCAGCAGCAAAGCAGCAATTTAGCTCAACCACAGAGCTCAAGTGCTGGTCCCCACAAGATGTTTCCCCATTTTAAAAGTAAGCCAAGGACAACAAATTAGTTCCACTGCAGAGTTTAAGTGGTGGGGGTAGCTAATAATCCAACACAGAACTGAAAGTAAAAACAAAAAACCCTCAGGTCAGAGACAAAGTTGTGATATTAATCAGTAAAGGTCTAACACCACCAAAGAAGACCTATAAAACCTAGAAGGACTGGAAGCCCCCTGGGCTCCCAAGTCGGGGTGGAGGGCGGGCCGAGGGCCTCAGCCATGCCCCCACAATGTCTACATCCAGCCCAGCACTGACCACAGAATTGCTGCTGGAAGCACCCTGGGTGGGGGTCAGCCATGCCCCCCTGACATCCACCCCAGCAATGACCACCAGGCTACTGCCAGAAGCACCCTGGGCTCCTGAGCCAGGGTGGTGGAGGGCTGAGGGCCTCAGCCACGCCCCCCTAACATCTGCATCCAGCCCAGTGATGACCACCAGGCCACCGCCAGAAGCACCCCGGGCTCCCAAGCTGGGTTGGTAGGGGCCGGGGGCATCAGCCATGTACCCTGACATTTACAGCAAGCCCAGTGACAACCACTGAGCTGCCACTAGAAGCGTCCTGGGCTCCTGGGGTGGGGGAGCGCCGAGGGCCTCAGTCATGCTGAGGGCCTCAGTCACGCCCCCCTCAAAGTCTGCATCCAGCCCAGCCACAAATGAGCCACCTCCGGAAGCCCCCTGTGCTCCCCTGCCAGAATGAGGGGGGTGCCACGGGCCTCAATCATGCGCCCCCTCCCTCCTTCCTCCTCCTCTCACCCTAAGCCCCTCCCTTTCCACCTCTCCCTCTCCTCACAATTGCTCTACAACATCTTAGAATGTAAAAAAAAATGTTAATAAAGTTTTTTAAAAAAATTTTTAAAAGAGCAAATATAACATCACTCAATTCATTTTTTAAAAGCGTGGCCAAGAAATAGGATTTATTTTATTTTTTTCCAAATCTATAAAAGGATGCTCTAAATGAACTGGTTTTAGACTAAATTGCAATCTACTCCAATTATCTTGTGAATTCCTTAATACTAACAGATCATCCAGTTATTAGTGTTTGTCATGATGAAGTTGATTAAGTCCACCGTTAAGGAATACACCAGTCAAATGGTGCTTGAGAATTATTAAATTAGTCAAAAAAAGAACTACCTGAGGAGAACATAAACAAATCAGGTGCACTATAAAAATGTGACCTATTTTAACTGTTTACCTGAAATAATGAAGCATTTCTCTTCATCAGGAAATCTGTACCTCAGATAAGTTGAAAGTCTTGTACAGTTTTAGACATGTATTTTCTCTTTTTATGCAGGCTCTTTTTATGTTATTTATTTAGTACAGAGTGGATAATCAAGATCCCAACAGAATTATTTGGCATAAAAGACAGAATAGAAACAAATATATGGCATGAGAACAGGCCAAAATAATTCCTTTTCCCTGCACATATTACGAGGTTCTGGAACTTAAATCTCTAAATTCCTCTGCCAAAAATAGGCATTCATGACACAGAATAATCTTAAAAATTTGTTTTAGGATGATGATAAGCTGATTAAAAATCCCTGATAAAGACACACTTAATTAGAGGTGCAAATGAGTTAGAGGAAAACCTGTAACTTAAAAAATGGCAAATGGTGTTTCTTGATTTTTTGCCTATTTGGAGAAAATGGAAAATCCAATATAAAATTCTTTTAGTCAATGAGAGCTAAATTTTTTTTTAATGAATTCTTAAGTCTAAAACAACAAAAGAACATAAGGTGAAGGTAGTTTATTTCACCAGATAAAATACAAGATGTCAAGTTAAATTTGCATTTCAGAAAAGCAACAAATAATGTTTTAAATCATTCTTACTAAACTTACATACACTTATTTAATTATACTAAAACATTCTTTATTGTTTATCCAAAATTCAAATTTAACTTAGAGTTCCCCTAGGTGGGGGACTAAAAAAAGATTAAAAATACTTTTACTTTATTTTAAAATGTTTTTGAATAAGCAATATATTCACCTTTCAAAAACCAAAAAATTGAAAGATACACAGTACAATGAAGTCTACTTCTCACACCTGTTTCTATCTTCCCAGTTGTCCCCTTTCCACAGATACTCATTGATTTTAGTTTTCAGTGTATCCCTCCACAGTTTCTTCTACTTTATTTTTATATTTTATTAAGAATGCACCTATACTTTCATATAAGAACACAAATTGTGATATTTTACTTTTTCAACATCACTTACTGTGTTGTAACAATAAATAAGAGTAATCAAAAGGGGTTTTTTTGTCCTTGAGAGCATATACTAAGATTTTGAAGAAGTAGGGAAGACTGTCATGTAAACAATAAGCATACAGCAATTTAACTTTGTAGGTTGACTATATGCAATTTGCTTTTTGTGTTTTTTGTGTTTTTAAGAATTAATGTCAAAGTCATCATTTTTAAGGACTTTGGTAGAATTACTTGCCTATTACCACAGAAAAGGTTTTCTAGAAAATTGGACTAATTATAATGCTAAAGTCAGTTGCATGTTTGTACTAAGTTAAGATAAAATTTGATATCTTTGCTTCTTTGATGGTCAAAAAAGAATTAAGTCTAAACACGGTTATGCTCAACTAGAATTTCATAGTGATTATTTTTATGATGCTTAACAATTAAAATGGGCTTTTATGCATATGAACTCACTGGATCCCCACAACAATCCTGTGGTGAAGGGCAGGTACTATTTTCATCATCATCATTTCAACAGTACAGAAAACTGCAGCTCAGCAAGGTGAAGGGTCTTGCCTAAGTTACAGGTAGTAATGGATGCAGCCGGGGCTTGAATCCAAGTCTTCTGATTTGTACCCCCATGTTCTTCCCTCTGTCCCATGTTGACTACCTGGTGGTCCTCCTGGTAGGTCCTGTCTTTACTTGCTACTTGTAGTTTACACAATCTGATTCACAGTGATGGGTAAAAATTTGAAGAAGCAACAGCACTCTGCTCAAAACTTTATCACAGAGAACTACAACTTGTCTTCTTATGAATGGTAATGAAGAAAGCATTTTAGAAATCTATATCAATCTATAAATTAAAAAGGCTGTGAATTTGAAAAATCATTTTGGTCTAAATCAAAAGTTGAGTTATATATTTTATTTGTGCCTTGAAAGGTAAAGGAAGGATAAATATTCTACAGCGAGAAAACTGAAATATAACGATGTAATTTAAGCCATCAGGAACAACCGTGTAACAATTCCTTATTTTGTTCCGTAAACTATACTACTCCTGACATACACAAAACCGAACCAAATGTATGAGACTCTCAGTCAGAAAGTCAGAAGAACCTGCCTCTCTTTGTTCTTCTCAGTCTCCTCTTCAGGTTTCTCCTCATCTCCCCAGCCTATAACAATCAAGTGGCACACTTCCCTATCCACACCATTCCCTTGGTGATTCATCCAGTCCACAGCTTTAAATACCATCTTTCTGCTTTCAATTCTCATATTTATATCTCCAACCTGGGAAACTCTCTTAAACAGCAGACTCATATACATATATATATTGCATGTTTAAAAGATTGTTCGAACTTTACATGCCTAAAATTAAATTGTGATTCTTCCTCCTAAACCTACTCCTCCCATAGTCTTCCTCATCTCCTCAAATAGCAACTCACGCTTTCAATTGCTCAGGCCAACAACTTCGAACTGTTCTAAGTTGCTCCATCCATGAGCAAATCCAGATGGGTTTCACCTTGTAACTACTACCAGAATCTAACTACTTCTTACCACTTCCTCTACTAACATCCTAGGTCAAACCATCCACATCGTTTATCTAAGTTACTGGAATAATCTCCTAACTAGACTTTCTGCTTTCACCTTTTCCCTCTAATCCTCTATTCTTAATCCATTATCCAAAAGGATCCCTTTAAAACATAAGTCTTCTTGTTCCTCCTCTGCTCAAAATTTTTCAAACATTCTACAGTCTCACATGATCTTGCACCCACCACTCCTGTGTTCATCTTATTTCTCTTGCTCTCAGATACTCAGCTCCAGCCACACTATTCTCTGTTCTTCTTCAAATACTACAAGCATGCTCCTGCTTCAGGGACTTTGCACTTGCCAATTCCCCGAGAAGCTCTCCGCAGATATTTGTATATCTGTCCCCTTGCTTCCTTCAGGTCTCTGCTCAAATTCTCAGCAAATCCTTTCCTGACAATTCTATATAAAACAGCCAACACCTCTTCCTCTTCCCCTAGCAATGATCCCTTTTCCTTCACCCTTGTTTTTTTATTTTTTTCCATAGCATTTATCACCATCTGATATACTAGTTGTTTAGTCACTTAGTTGCTTATTAGCTCTCTTCTCTCACTAGAATGTAAACTCTAAGAAAGCAAGGATTGCTTAGGTCACTGTGTATCTCTACTGCCTTGAACTGTGCCTGGAATATAATAGGTATTAAACATTTGTTAGATAAATGAACCAGCCAAGTAGTTTTATGAAGCATGTTTATTCTGTTCACCTTTGCAGAATTTTGCCTGATGTAAAACTACAGAGATGACAGCGGAAATTTTAGAAATATAGTTGATACTGCTAAGTTTTTTTGTTACTTTTTACTTAGCATTGTTGGAGAAGACATTCCTCCCTGACCCTTCAATGACTTCAAACATCTGCTAGTAGACAAGAACGCCAGCCCTTGCTTAGTATTGCAAGACAGTTCACTACTTAGATTAAAGATGTAGAAGAGGATAATCTCAGTCTTAGACAAAAGTGAAGAGAGAATGGTATTTAAGAGTAAATCCTCAGGCTAACAAGAGAAGAGAAACAAGAAAAATGGATAAAGGGCTTCCTTGTCTATGTTGAGTTGATGGATGAGCCACAAGGAAAAGATAGAAAAGCCTCATGTGGGGACACCCACATGCTTGGCACACTCTAGATACTCAAAAACTATTTACTGGATGATTAACTGAATGAACAAAGAGTGGCGGCACTGGACTGGAAGAAGAAGTAGAAATATAATATGGAAAGGCTATTAATAAGCATGGAGAATTCATATGAATTACATATGAAATTATAGATCCCTTGGAGGCATTTCAAAGTGGCTCCCTTACTGGGAGGTTCACTGTCAATGGCGGCCCAGGAACAGCACTCTTCAAGATTTCAAAGATGTGAGGGCAGTTTACAGAGATCCACTTAAACTTTCAGGGAATCCAGAACCATATTTAATTAGGTTAAAATCTATATAAACCTTGGCATATTATGTAAACCATAGATATTTTCTAATATTGAATATAATATTTCAAATAAGAGGCAGTTACACATTACATTTCTTTTATTTAAACTGTAATTTTTGTATATATAGCACTAGTCCAATTATTCTTGACACTGATGATAATTTTCCAGATTTCCTTCCTTCAATTTTGTATAGATAATAAACAATGTTTTTCTATTATTTCACTTTCCAGCACTATCATCAAAATTGACATTCTAGTATGTGTTATTATTAGTATACATTTTTGTGAAATATCCAGCTCACTGGGGCAAAAGAAGAATTGACCTGATAATCCTAGCTACTATTTGTGGACACAAACAGAAAGAAGCAGTTAATTAATACGACTTAAGTCACAGATACCGAAATAAGGATGCACTTACATCTGCCAGTTCCTTGATTTGCTTTGCTGACACATCAAATGTGTCAAGTCTTTGAAGGCATGGCAAGTGATACAACATATGTGTAGAATAATTACACAGCAGACAGACTGGATTGCTTTTATATTGAGGATCATTCAGACATAAATCCTTTAAGCAACGCAGCCTGGTTAAGTTAGTGAGTTCCTAAAACAACAGCATGATAATGCTCAATTAATTAATGTAACTGTCCATTTCTAAAGGAGGCATTTGAACACTTAAGATAAGCCATAATCTAATGTAATGCATTCTAATTATGTACTTAAATACATTAAAGTGATTTAGATGGCTAAAATGTTTCTCTCTAGTGAAAAACATGCTAAATTCTGAAGAATAGATCGACAATAATTAGACAGCAGATTCCATACAACTAGGCATTTTAAATATTTACCAAACCATGTAATTCAGCTGGAACCTTGGAGCTAGTCACATGAGCACATTTATTCATTAGGACATTGCTTCCTCTCCACAGTCCATTTTGCTATCAGTTGCCTCCATGGTACCTGTAGATGTCCTATTTATTTAGGACATTGCTTCCTCTCCACAGTCCATTTTGCTATCAGTTGCCTCCATGGTACCTGTAGGTCTCTGCTTCCTGCCCTCCTGTTTTCTACACTTATCATCTAGCAACACTGCTCTCCATCTTCCTTGCCCTCCAGATCTGCTCTTCTCATCAAAGGCTATGAGACTTCTGTTCTATTACAATTACCATGGAATTTCTAATTTTTCATTTTTTTTTTTCATAAATGCCCTTTCTACCTATTTATGGGCAACTGAAACCTAGCTTTCTCTTGAGGGCCTCACTTTCCTCACAACCTACGGATGTGGAGGGGTTGATAATGTACTCCCAGACCAATACTTCTCTTTAACCATTTTTTTATCCTGAAGTTTTATTGCTTACACTTTCCTTTATCTGGCCCTTGCTTAACTCTTCAAACCTGCATCTTTCTGTTTAAACCCTAACATTTTATGTTTTAGCCAAACTGAACAACTTTAAGTTTTGGAATGTGCCAGACCATATCTTGTCTTTAGACCTTCACTCATGCTATTTCCTTTGAGTGAACTGAACTTCACCCCCACTTCACCGTTTAGTATGTCAGGGCCCAATCCAGGTGTCATCTTCTCTGGGAGCCTTGTTTCATCCTCCAAAGTTGAAAGAGTAACAGGTTAGCTTTTTCACTCAGTGTCTGTCTTCAGTCACTGTATAGTCAGTAAGGAGCCCAATAAGAGCATATAGCTGATCCATGAAGGAGACTATGATTTAATTCCACCCATGTCACAGGTGTTTGCCAGCTCAGCTCACTAGCTAGCTAATCAGCTAAGGGCCAGCAAGCCATCAAATATACTACCAAACACATAAAAGTATTAGCCTAAGTAGACAGTGTTCCATGACTATGACTCATCCTTCAGACATGGCCAGTCATAAGCCAATTTGCCTCCATGACAAATTAGGGCGGTTATTTTAGTCTTTTTCTTCCCTGACCTCTCTATCTAATCTAATACCGTGGAACATCCTGTTTAAAGTTCTCTTATCCTTTAGTGTCTCTGATGTAAGTCTTCATCTTCTCTCAGAGATTGTTTTTCATCTTTTATTGGCTCCTTGTTTTCTCCTAATGCCCTGAATATACGCAAAGGTACAGATTTTTTTCCAATATTCATTCCTCATTCCCATTTAATCCATAGGAAATATCTTCTAATGACTCTTAAATTGATTACTCTAGCCCTGAATTTCAGCTCCTCATTTCCAACTGTTTACTAGATCTTCACCTGGGATGCCCCACTGTCGCTCCAAACTCAACATATTCAGGACCAAGTACATTCTCTTTCCTCTCAAACTACCCACTTTATCTGACTTGTGTATTTCTTGAGCTTGCTAAGAACTGTAATCACAGACACATTTTAGACTATCTTGCTCCTCACATTCTATTAGCTGCCAATCCGGCAAATTCAACAAATTCAATAATGTTCTCTCACATCTATTCATTTTTTTTCTCTCTCAACATCCTAATTCAGATTCTCATAATCTCTCATTTACACTAGGTTTCTGCTTCCAGCTGCTCCAAACCAACAAATCTAATTCCAGAATATTAACCCTAATGAAAATCTCTGATCGTATCACTTTTTTGCTCGAAAACTCTGATAGATCTCTGTTGTCTATAGAACATAGTCCATATTCAAGACCCAATTGACCTTTCTAATATTAACTTCCAATATTCTCATATGTACTATATATTCCAGTCAAATGACAATGCTATTACTCAAATATACCCCTTGATTTCTTACCTCCATACCTTTGTGCATATTGTTCTCTGCCTCTTAGAATGCCCACCCCCACTGCCCAGAAGATCCTCTTTCAATGCCTGTTAAAATCTGTCGACACTTCAAGATTCACATCAAATAATTCCTCTTGAATTTGACTACTATTTTGTTTATATTCCTTTTTAAGGAACTTATTCTGCCTTATTCTATAGCTTCTTGATGTCTTATTTTTCTCTGAGTAAAAGAATGCCCACTTTAATACTGATCAATTCAAAATTATTTCTATAGTAAATTTATTCATCTTTCTTTAATATTTTCATTTTTGTTCAGTGCATTAAACAGTAAATCCCTTTATTTGGTTGTTTCTCTTTCATTCATGTTCTTGACAAACATTTATTGAGATTAACTACAAGTCCAGCACTATTTTATGCACTGTGAACATAGCAGTGAACAAAACAGGAACAGTTCCCGTACTTGTGGAGCTTGTATTCTAGTATGGAATGTGCCAAGAGGAAAAATAAAACAGTGAAAGTGTGATAGCGAGTGCTGTAGTTGGGGAGCATGGTGGGGGTCATTGCTATTTTACTTAAACTAGGCAGGAAAGGTGTCACTAAGAACATAACATTTGAACAAAGACCTGAAAGAAATGAGGAAATGAACCATGCAGGTGTATACAGGAAGAATATTCCAGCAAATGTAAGGGCCCTAAGGTGAGTGTGTGCTAGGTATGTGAGGAGACAAATGTGGCTGGAATAGAATAAATGAAGGAGAGAGTGGTAGAAGCTGTTGTCAGAGAGATGCGGTAGGGGGAACTATATTATGTAGTATTATGAGCCATTGTAAGAATTGGCTTTAACTCTGAAAGAGATGTGAAGCCAAGGGACGGTTTTGAGCAGAAGAGTGACTTGATCTGACATATTTTTAAAGGCTCCATGAGGCTGCTGTGTGAAGGACAGACTGATAGTAGGGAAAGGATTAACACAGCAGAGCTGTTCAGAGGTTTTTTGTTTGTTTGTTTGTTTGTTTGTTTTCAAATAATGCAGGTTAGAGACGGTTTTTTTTTCAAATAATGCAGGTTAGAGACGATGGTGTATTGAACTGGCTGGTAGTGATGCAGGTGGTTAAAAAGGGTCAGACTCTGGACATATTCTGAAAGTAGAGCCAACAGAATTTTGTTTGTTTGTTTTCAAATAATGCAGGTTAGAGACGATGGTGTATTGAACTGGCTGGTAGTAATGCAGGTGGTTAAAAAGGGTCAGACTCTGGACATATTCTGAAAGTAGAGCCAACAGAATTTGCTGATGGATTAGATGTGGAATATGAAGGAATAAAAGGAGTAAAACATGGCTATAAGTGGCTTAAGTCAATGGAAGAATAGAGATGCCATTTAGAGAGGTGGAGAAGGCCTCACGAGAAGGTTTGGTGGAGGCAAAATCCATTTGAGTTAGAATTGGAGATGTCTATAGTTCTGGGGAGTTATCAAGGAAAGCAGAGGTACCAATTTAGGAGTAGTCAGTAGATAAATAGGTATTTAAAGTCAGAAGACATACATGATGATATTACTCAAAGAATGAACTCAGATGGAAGTGAGAAAAGATCCCAGAACTAACCAGGGGCAGTCGATTTTCAGAATGTTATAAGAGGATGAAAAACCAGGAACTGAAGAGATATAGTCAGAAAGATCAGAAGAAAGCTATGAGAAAATGGCATCCTAAGAGGCAAGCAAATAGTCACTGGTTTTGTTTTAGTAGTGTCAGATCATTAAAGCCAATTTGGCCAGCTGATGCTCAGATTTCCGTTAAGTATCAGGTAGCCCCAAATAATGAAATTATTCTTTAAAAGGAGACTATTAGTCCATTTTCTGCAATAAGATGATTCACAAGTCAGGTTGATAAATAAAAGTGAATTATTTCACTTAAGCATACCTTGAAGGAACATATTTGATTACCAGAAAGGTTTAATTTTTCCAGTTGTTCATTGGGGTCAAGACATCGACCTTTAATTTAAAAAACAAGATGAAAGAAAAATTAAATTTCTTGTTTTACCTCCTGTTCATATCCTGATACTTCTAAGCGTTTATATCCATTGTTTCTTGCATATAAATAAGATGAATGGTATCATTGTATAATTAATCAATAATGACTGATTAATGGATAATAGTTTCACATCCTATAATTGTACATTTAGAAATGCTTTGCCAAGGCATAATACAAAAAAAGTCTAAAGGGAAGAAACCTAAGCATGCACATTTTTATACTGATAAAAATTTATTTTAGTATTATCTCAGATTCCACGTGAAACAGTACATACCAATGGTGCTTATGAAATTTCCAGCAAGGTTGAGATCACTTAAATTCTTCAAAGTTTGCAAGCCCTAAAAATTTAGATAACATAAAATTTAGAGAAATAATCATTAAAATCTGTATTTACAAATCATCTCTGATCAATCTGGTTAGTTCTCTGAGCATGGGTTCTGTGTGCTTCAAAAGCACAGGGGGAAATGGGTGCCTCAATGAAGCCATCTGTATTTCTCTATACCAGAACCTGGAGAAAACTACTGGAGCGGGGAACAAGGAGGGGAGTAAAGAGGAAAAGAGAACGAGAAGAAGGAAAAAGAACACATCACAAAGAGTGTGTTTATAATCTTAGGTAAGTTATATAACTTCTCTAAGCCTCGTTTTTTGTTTTTTTTTTCATCTTCAGGGAAGGAAAACAACACCTTACCTCTCAGGCTTGTTGTGAGGCGTAAAGACTCTAATGTATACAAAGTCTTCTGTACATGATAAAACGCTGTATACATGTTAGTTATTTTTAACTCATCTTCAGGGAAGGAAAACAACACCTTACCTCTCAGGCTTGTTGTGAGGAGTTAAGACACTAATGTATACAAAGTCTTCTGTACATGATAAAACGCTGTATACATGTTAGTTATTTTTAACAACAATAATTGTACTAGTCATGAATATTTTGGCCCTTAACCATAATATGATCTTGGACACTGTGGTTTAAACTCCAGAGTAGTAACCAACTTTACATATAAATAATTGAAATGATCTTACCTCAATACTTTTAATTGTATTATGGTTCAGCCAAAGAACTTCCAATTTAATTAATTTCTCTAAGTTTTCTATTTTGGATATTTTATTATAATATAAATATAGTTTTTCCAAATTTCTACATTCTTGAAGACCTCCAATTTTCTATAAAAAAAAAGAAAAAGGAGATAATAGTGTTAGTTTATAAAGTAGCTTTCTAAGTATATTTTCTTTCAAATATCACATTTTATTTCAAATGTCACATTTTATTACAAAATCAATGCCCAATAAAATAAACTAAAATTTTTAAAAGGGAAAACATATAGTCCCTACCTCAAAATATAACCATTTTCAATTTTGTATGCTTTCTTTAAATTTTAATTAACTATATACTTATTTTTATATGATTATAATCATAATGCATATATAATTTTTTTTATTTAAGGCCATCTAAAATGTTCTTATAATTTTTCAAGCTTTAATATTAAATAATTATATTTCATAATTTATAATAATTTTCTTAAAAATTATCCTGTGTGGCATATTTGTGTTTCAAATGTTTAGCTATTATAAATAATATTGTAACAAATAGCTTCATGTATATATTTGTTTTCTGCTGTTGAATTACTTCTTTAGGATAAAATATTAGAACTGGTATTTCTGAGTCAAAAACTATGTACATTTCTGTGGCTCTTGATATGCTTTGTAATATTGCTTTTCAAAATAAATGTTAGAATTTCAACCCAACCAATAGTGTCTAAGTAAACCAATTTTACTAAGCAATACCGGCTATGATTTGATTTGATTGCTAAAAAGTAGATTATGTTTATGTTTTAATTCCTTATTTCTATTTTTTCCTTTGCACAAATCAATTTCTGTCTTTTTGCCCATTTATTTGTTTTGACCCATGCCTCATTCATGTATTTCAATAAATTATTTTCACAACCAAGAATTCATGATAAAATACTCCACGTAAGGTTATATGTTTAGACTTACCTCTATGCAACACTCAGCAATCCAAAGTTCTTTAAGTTGTAAACAAGTCTCTAACCCTGAAATTTCTTTTATATCTTGAGCAACAATTGTAAGACTTGTTAAGTTAGGAAATAATGATAATCCAACTATATGGGGATACCCTGAGAAGAACATCTCCAGTTTTGAAGTATCTGATCCTTCTTGTCCAACCTTCTCATAAGATAAACCATTGCACAAACACTGTTTTAAAAGAAAGAAATTGAGTTATTGCCCATTCTAAATATTAAAAAATGACTTTGCCATTAGAAATTATAAATTGTCAATTGCACTGATGCCATTTTTGTATTTTCAAAAGAGAGAAAGTTGTACCACATATATGGTTTTTTTCTGCTTTCAAAGTCAAGGTGTAGAAGAAATCACTAGAAAACTCTTCCAGCTCCAGAAAGGAGCATAAAGATATTCCACTTAATATTCTTGCAAATATTGTTGACAAGAAATTTGGCTTTGACTCACCAGTTCTTTAATTGTTTCTTCCTGGTTTAGGTTTCCACTTTCAATCATCTTCCATTAAAAAAAATGATCATACCAATATATCTGTTAAGGAAAATAAAAAATTGAAATAAATACTAGAGTTATGTCATTCCAAGTTGAAAAGGACCTTAAAGCTATTTGGGTTGACCACCCACCCCTGGCTTGAAATCTTCACATACTATATTACCAAGTGTCTGTCTAGACCCCAAGATAGTCTATTCTATCTCTGAAGTTTTCTGTTAGAAAGTTACTTTTTATTCTATCTCTCCATAATTATTCCTCTTTTGTTGTCATTTTACCTCCTTGTTTCAACTAAAACAAGTATAATTTTCCTTCCACATAATGAGCCTTCAATACTGGTAGAAAATAGTCATCTCTCTTCCACACCTTTACCTCGCTTCCAGTTCAAGCCATTTGGTTCTCTCATTAGATGTCTGTTTCTCTCCTTTGAATAGGCTCCAGTTTATCTTTGTTATTATACTGTGGTGCCCCAAACTGAACACAGTTCTTTAAGTGTACTTAGAAAACAAAGAGAAGAATTCTCAGGGCTTAGCAAAATATCTGACATGGTAATAAATGCTTATTAAAATGAATTCACTAACTTTTCATTCATTCTAGATGATAAGAACCAATTAATACCTAAATAGCCTCAATAAAATTTAACTAAAATATCTGACATGGTAATAAATGCTTATTAAAATGAATTCACTAAGTTTTCATTCATTCTAGATGATAAGAACCAATTAATACCTAAATAGCCTCAATAAAATTTAACCCAATTTTCATAATTTTTAATATTTTCTTATTATTACAGTCATATATTATCTAAAAAATATAGAAATTCTAGTTTTAATATGATGACATGACAAAGCAAGATGTAGAAAATGGTGTACGTTATAATCCTATTCTTTATAATAACAACTCCCCCACAGATATGTGTGTACATGAATACATAAGTATATGTGTATGCTTATAGAGGATAAAATATGGAAATACACAAAGTTCAGTTACCTTGGATATAAGGTGAAAGCTGATATGGTTAGAATAGGAACGAAAGTTTGGATGGGGATAAATCTATGCAAAAATGGAAAAGGAAAAAAACTTTCTTAAAATATTATACAATACATGTTTAGTATTGTATAATATAAATGTATAAACATTTATTTATTCATTCTACTGTTGGTACACACTTGGACTGTTTCTAGTTGGGGGCTAAAGAGTACTGCTCTGAACATTTTGTCATGCAGGCCATAGCTACACACTTCTTTTGGGTTTATACCTAGAAGTGGAGTGAGAAAGAAATAACTACTGTTATATACAACATGTATGATTTTCACTAACACATTTTTTTGAGCAAAAGAAGACACACACATGCAACGAATACATACTGTGTGACTCAATTCATATAAAGTTTGAAAACAAACTAATTTATGGGTTAGAAGTCAGGAAAGTGGCTACCTTTCAGGGGTGACTGACTAGGAGGAGGTATAAGAGGGGCTTCTGGAGTGCTGATAAAGATACATTTTTTGATCTGGGTGCTGGTTAAAGGGATGTGTTCACCTTGAGAAAATAAAATTAGATACCTAAGGTGTGTGTGATTTCTGTATATATGTCATATTTTAATAAAATCTACTTAAATTTTTATTTTAAACGCATTTATATGCTCACTTTTATTCATTTATGCAAAATTATGTACATGTGCAGGTATATAAATAAATTTAAATTTTAAGAAAAAACATAGTGACTTTAGTCCATGTATTTACCTACCTTCCCTCCCCCAATTGCATTTATATGCTCACTTTTATTCATTTATGCAAAATTATGTACATGTGCAGGTATATAAATAAATTAAAATTTTAAGAAAAAACATAGTGACTTTAGTCCATGTATTTACCTACCTTCCCTCCCCCAATCCCACTAGAATGACTAGAGAAATATGAAAATACAAAAGAAACATGTAGCAGTGCTAGAAAAAGAGCACTTATTGTCAGAAATATTGCTGAAGTTCCTTTAAAACTGATGCAGACAGTGTGAGATTGAAAGAAAAGTCCATCAAAAGCCCAAAATTCAAGGTGCAGGGAAAGAAGTTTCACAAAACTATTCTAAGAAAATCCTCAAACTCAGAGCAGCAGTGGTTGGGGAAAGGGTAGCTGTGGGTCACACGTAAGGGACCAAATCAAAGGACTTTTAGATATGTACCAGAGAACTGCACACAGCCCATATCTGTACTCAGGCTTTATAAATTGAGGACATTGCTCCACCATGCTGAATGCTATAGTTTGAATATGTCTTCTCTGAAATTCAGGTTTTGCCAATGTGATAGCATTAAGAGGTGGAACCTTTAAAACCTCATCACGTCATGAGGGATCCTTCCCTCACAAATGGGATTAGGGACCCTTATAAAAGAGGTTGACTAAGGGAGTTCATCCCTTTTTTGACTGTCTGCCTTCTGCCATGTGAAGACACAGCGTTCCTCTCCTCTGGAGGATGTAGCCTTTAAGGCACATCTTGGAAGCAGAGACCCAATCCTCAGCAGACACCAAATGCTGGTGCCTTGATCTTGGACTTCTCAGTCCCCAGAACTGTAAGAAATAAATTTCTGCTGTTTTTAAACTCCCCAGTCTCAAAGTTTTTTATTATAGTAGTCCAAAATGGACTAAGACACTGAGTCAAGAAGGAGGGCAGGGACCCCAGCTAGCACCACAAAGGAAAATACAGCCAGCAATTATCCTAATACACTGAACTCTCTGTCATTTATTCATTCATTCTTTACTATACACATTGAGGGTTTAATATGTACCAGCCTGAAATGATAAGGATGGGAAGAAAGACAAGACCTCTCTGATAAGGTGGAATCTAGGCAAATAAATGAAGAAAATAAGGGAGCATGAGCCATGAGGGAATCTGGGGAAAATGTATTGAGGAAGAAGGAACAGCAGATGCAGAAAACAGGATGACAGCATACTTGGCCTGTCTGAAGACCAGTGAGGAAAATGACGTGACTGGAGCACATCAAGGGAAATGGAGGCTGGTAGGATGTGAGGTCAGAGAGGTGTTTTGGGGCCAAATCACATGCTATCTCGTAGGCCCTTTTTAGGATTTTGGATTTTATTATGAGTAAGATAGAAAATCATATGAGGATTTTGAGTGGAAGAGTAACATGAGCCATCATAAGTATTGAAAAGGATCACTCTAGCTACTCTGTTGAAAATAGACCATAGGGGTCAGCAGAAACACGGAGAACAGTAAAGGAGCAGTTGTAATACAAGTGAGAGCAATGGTGGTTGGAGTAGGGTAGTAGTAGTGGGGGTGATGAGAGTGGTTAGATGATCCATCTATATTGAAGGAAATGCTGCTCATTCCTTCCCTGCTCCCATTGGCAATTACATCCTTACCCCATTCTTGGACAACTCCAAGATATTATAGCATAGGCTGCCAGCAAGGGAGAACTTGGTAAGGAACAATCTGAAAGAATTTAGATACTCCATCAAAGGCCCATATATAGATATAGACCATAGTCTTCCCTTCCTAGGTTTACTTAGATGGTATACCAAGTAAAGGAGGGTTTTGTAGCCCCTCTACACATAGGAAGAAAAGCTCCTACACCATGACTTAGTTTCCTTTGGTGAACACCAAAGGAAAGCCTGGCTGCCCACCACCACACAAGGAGCAAAGCCTGCCTTCAGAACCTCCAAAGTCACCAAATGGTGATACAAATTGTCTAGTCTATTTTCAAGATATCTATTTCAGAAGGAATTAAACTGTCCTTTTTGTTATATACTAAATGATCACATAGAGTTGGCCTTATTTTGGACTTTCTAATCTGTTCTTCCCTATCTCTATTTCTGTACCAGTATCTTCCTGTTATAATTGCTGCAATTTATATTGTAAATTCCCACCTCATATTATTTTTTGGAAGTTTCCTGGCTATTCTCTCATATTTATTTTTCCAAATAGGATTTATGACTATTTTGTATTTAGTTTCTTTAAAATTCAGTTGGGATTTTGATTGAGATTGCATTGTAAAGTGTAGGGAGAACTGAAAACTGAATCTTCCTTGAGAAAAAGGTATAGCTCTTCACTTATTCAAGGAGACTACTTTTTCTTGGTAGGGAAATATGCATATTTGGATACCAAGCTTACCTCTCACTTCACCTTATTTTCTCTTCATAAATGCCCTCATTTAGGAAAAGATTTTGTTCTAATTAAATAATTAGCAAAACAAAATTTCTGTAAAAAACTCCAAGTCCTATAGTTTGTATAACTACATCTGAATTATGAGAAGCCTGGACCTTCCTGGTATTTACAAGCCTCAGAAGCTTTTTCCAGTCACTAATGGACTCAAGGTTGCCAAATGGACCTTCTAATTCCACCAGGAAGGGTATGTCCTGTTGGTCAGCTTGTACCCATTCTCCTGTACTTTGGGAAAGCTCTTTTCAGGACCTGCCTATCTAAGAGGCTGAAGGGCTTCTTTAGTTCCTCAGGGAACCAGATGCCACCAGGAGCCCAATTCAAATTGCAAATCTTGGATTGATCCAGTAACCTCTCTTCTCCACTTTGGATTGCTACTGGAAAATCTCACATAACCAGCATGGAGTTGAAGTCACTACAAATGCATGGCCTCTTCGGCTGGATCTTCAGTGACAAACATTTAATATTTTCCTTTAATATTTTCCTTAGGACTAGAGATACAGGTTTGGGATTCATGACATAGTGATTATTCTAATTCAGCTGGATCTTCAGTGACAAACATTTAATATTTTCCTTAGGACTAGAGATACAGGTTTGGGATTCATGACATAGTGATTATTCTAAACTTTCGCCACTCTTCTCAAGGTCTCTCTCTCAACATATGATCTTTTCCCCATCTTTACATAGAACAGTGATGCCATCAGATGCACATTCTTTCAATTCCCTTTATCCCTGAAGACTTATTTCTTCCCCTTCTGACTCCTTAGCAGATGTATTCTTCATTTTGTCCCACACAAATCGCTCTTCCTGTGTACTGATCCCATCCTCTTCTGTCTCTCTCAGAACATTGGTCTGCAAAAATTTCCTTCTTCTC